AAACAATGGTTACCTAGAAATGTGACACAACCTGAAACTAATGTGTTGTCTAAGAAGGTTGAGGATGATAATAAAGGGCCAAATGAAATAGGAACTGTCAATTTGGATATAGTTACAAGCAGGAAGGGTAATGCTAGTTCTACTGCTGCTGAGATTCCTGCTATCAGAAATAAGGAGGTGGAAAAAGTTATAGAAAAATGGACTGAGGTTATTAAAAGTGGAAGAGGTCGAGGTAAACAGATAGGTAAGGTTGGTGCTGCAGGTATGATTTCACATGACAATGGGTTTGATGCTCTAGAGATTTTGAAGGATCTCCTAGAGGCTCAAAACACTGGCCAATGATTGTCTCCTGGAATATCAGGGGGCTGAATAAAATGGGGAAGTTAAAGGAGACTAGCTCCCGTCTCCTAAACCTTCATCCCAACATTGCTATTCTACTTGAAACTAGAGTAAAAATTGATAAAGCAAAGAAAGTTAGAGATTGTCTTAACCTCAGAGGTAAATATATTGACAACTATCAGTCTCACTACAATGGCAGGATATGGATTTATTGGGATGACAGTGATAAGGACATCAGAGTGGTGACTTGCACAGCTCAGATGATACATTGTGGAATATATGATGTCAATGGTAAATTCCAAACCTGGATGACAGACATTTATGCTATGAATCAGCTGGACCAAAGAAGGAAGTTATGGGAGGATTTGGTGAATATACATAACAACCAACAAGGGCCTTGGTTCCTTATGGGGGATTTTAACAATGTGACAAAGTCCATGGATAGGATTGGGGGAAATTTGGTGACTGAGAGAGAATATGTTGACTTAAGAAACTTGATGGATTATGCTGGGCTTTTTGAGAAGGATAGCACAGGTGATTATTTTACCTGGACAAATAAACATTCTGTAGGAACTATCTACTCAAAAATTGATCATGTGCTTGGTAATATAGATTGGCTGCAGGAAAACACTGATATGAAGCTTGAGATTCTCCCTCCTAGTATTTCTGATCACTGCTTGCTGTGTTTGGCTGACCAGAAAAGAAACAGAATTGTATACACCAACTTCAAGTTCACTAATAGTGTGATTAAAGTGGATGGATATCAGGATATTGTAAAGCAGAGTTGGCAAAAAGTGTGTATGGGAAGACCTATGACTCGTTTGTGGTACAAGTTGCTGAGGTTGCAAGCTCCTCTTATCAAATTGAGCAAGAAGTTCTCTCACCTCCATATGTCCATTATTAAAGCCAGGACTGGTCTTCTCAAAGCGCAGGAAGATTTAAGGGTGGACAGAATGAATGCAAGCAACATTGAGAAGGTGAGACAATTTACTGATGAAGTGATTTATCTGCAAGACCTTAATGTTAACATGCTGAGACAGAGATCTAAATTGGACTGGCTTAGAGAAGATGATTCAAATTCAGCTTTTTTCTATGCCTACCTCAATTCTAGAAATGCAGCTACTCATATCAATCAATTACAAAAGGAGGATGGCACTTATATTCAGAGCTTACCTGACATTGAAAAGGAGGTATGTGACTTTTATACAAAGCTGTATGGGAGTCAAGCTCAGAGGGTGAATATGATTGATCTCAATGCTATGAGGGAGGGGCCACAGCTAACTATGTTGCAGAGAGCTGATCTCATTTCCCCTGTCACTGTTGCTGAAATTCGTACTGCTATTAATGGGATTGGTGACCTTAAGATCCCAGGCATTGATGGGTATGGTGGAAATTTTTTTAAGGCTAGTTGGAATATCATTGAGCAAGATGTTGTTGAAGCTGTCCAGGAATTCTTTGAGGAAAATGTGTTGTACAAAAGATTTAATGAAACTATTGTTACATTGATCCCTAAACATCCTGCTGCAAAAAGGATTAATGATTATAGGCCTATTGCAGGGTGCACAACTGTTTATAAAATCATATCTAAAATCCTCACTGCGCGACTTGGGAGAGTTTTGGGGACTATTATCAGTAAAACTCAGGCAGCTTTTGTTCCTGGCCAGAATATTCACTCTCATATTTTATTGGCAACGGAATTATTAAAAGATTACAATAGGAATAATGGTACGCCAAGATGCATGATCCAACTTGATATTCAAAAAGCATATGACATGGTTGACTGGGGTGCTCTTCGTAATATTCTCAATGAGATTGGGATGCCACAGAGATTTGTTGAATGGATCATGACTGCTGTTACTACAGTCTCTTACAGGTTTAATATCAATGGTAAGTTTTCTGATAAGGTGGTAGCAAGAAGGGGTATTAGACAAGGAGATCCTTTGTCCCCCCTCCTGTTTGTAATTATTATGGAGTACCTTAATAGGCTGCTGTTCAGAATGCAGAGGAATCCGGATTTCAATCACCATGCCAGATGCGAAAGGCTGCAGCTCACCCATCTTACTTTTGCTGATGATCTCCTGCTGTTTTCTAGAGGTGATATAGTTTCTATAGAGATTATGCAGCGCACCGTCAATAGTTTTTTGGATTCAACAGGTATGAAGGTTAACCCTACCAAGAGTAAAGTTTACTTTGGTAGTGTATCAGATTCTGTTAAACAATCAATTCTGAATTTTACTGCTTACGACGAGGGGTCTCTCCCATTCAGATATCTTGGTGTCCCCGTGAGTAGTAAAAAGCTGTCTGTGGTCCATTATTTGCCGTTGATGGATAAACTGTTGAGTAGGATTACGCATTGGAGTTCTCGACTTCTTAGCTATGCCGGTAGATTACAGTTGATCAAATCTGTGTTGTATGCTATTACCTCATATTGGATGCAGTGTGTTTGCTTCCCTAAAACTGTGATTAGAAGAATCAATGCCATTTGTAGAACCTTTCTCTGGACAGGAGGTAACAACATTAGTCGAAAGAGTCTGATTGCGTGGGATAAGATTTGTAAACCTGCGGCAAAAGGAGGTTTGAATGTGCTGGATCTAGTGGTTTGGAATAGCATGTTTATGATGAAGTTACTCTGGAATATATCCATGAAAACCGATGATCTGTGGGTTCGGTGGATTCATGCTTATTACCTGAAGAATGAGAATGTTATGTATAGAATGGTTAAAAATTCAGATTCAATTATTTTTAAAACTATTCTGATGCAGAGGGAAAATATTGGCACTATGCAGAGGGTTTGGAATGAGATGGTGCAAGCAGGGAGATTCATTGGTAGGCGAGTGTATGCGAACTTATTGCCTGCCACACCTAAGGTTGCCTGGTCCAGGTTAATTCTCCACAATAGAGCTAGACCCCGTGCCATATATACTCTCTGGATGAACTGTCATGGAAAGCTAGCCACAAAAGTTAGATTGAATCGATTTGGCATGGTGAATAATAACCAATGTGTCTTTTGCCCTGCGGCGGAAACCATTGACCATCTATTTTTTGATTGTGCTACTTTGAGGAAGATTTGGGTTGAAATACTTCACTGGATTGGTATCCCTCACAATCCTGGGGATTGGACAGAGGAGATAAACTGGATGTTGAATTGTTTTGGTGGTAAAGGTTGGAAAGCCGATCTTGTTAGATTAGCTCTGACTGAAACGGTACATGAGGTGTGGAGGTTTAGAAATGACATTTGTTTTAATCAGAGAAATGACAGTAGGAATTGTACAGATAGAATTATTAACAACATAGTCTATAGAGGGTGGTCGAGCCCTAAGCTTAGACCACATATAGCTCTTTTGATGGTTCAGTAGGTCTTTTTGTTTTGGGCTGGATTTTGATCGCCTTGTTTTGTTCTTGACTTTGGATTAATGATATTTTTGATTCAAAAAAAAATAAACAAACTATTTTTTAACAAATGATAATATTCTACTACACTCTTATAAAAAATTCAAATAATAGTTTTATTATTATTATTATTATTATTATTATTATTATTATTATTATTATTATTATTATTATTATTATTATTATTATTATTATTATTATTATTATTATTATTATTATTATTATTATAGTGAACATTATGTCAATTATTATACATATTATTTTCAAAGAGAGAGGTAAAATATAATCATTTGTTTAATACAAAATAGTCTTTTGTTATTATACATATCATAATCATGTAGAAAGAACTTCTCTTCCTAATAAAAATTATAATGAATTTTGTTTTATAACATAATTTTATAGTTATAAAATTAGTAAAATTATAATATAAATTGAAGATATTAATATCGAACACTAAAAAATAAAAAGTGAGGAGAGGGAGAGAGAGAGACAAACTTTGAAAAAATTCTCATTCTAGGAAATAACTTTTAGATAACCTTCATTAATATTTTTTATTTTTTATTATTTCCTTTAAGTTGGCTATCAATATTATTTATAAATACATATAATAGTATATTTTTTATTAGAGTTTAATTGATATGTTTATAATATTATTCAATAGAAATTAATCAATCTGCCATATTATAACTCAAAATTTACAGTCTGATTTAATAGAATATATGAGGGTGATTGGTTGACCGTATAAAATAATTTTATACTATCCGTATAAAAAATTTATATTGTCAGTACATATTAATTAAATTTTTTCAATTATTTTTTTTGTGTTATGATATTATCATAACCGATAATTGAAACTAACTTTTCTTTTAGCAATTTAATAATTTTTTATTTCCATAAATATTTTATCTTTTCAGTATTTCAGTAGTAAAATTATCATATCGTTACATTATTATTTAGTAATTTTTTTTAAACATTATCATTCAATAAACTTTTTCTATAATTAATAATATTTATTTTGTCCCACTTGAAAACCATATAGAAATCATAAGTAAAACTCAGCATTACAAATTTGTCTAATTTTGAACACAAGATTTTTCACTTTGTATTATTTTATATTACAACAAATATTGATTCAACTAAGAAAATTCGATATTATTAGATTGAACTTTATAATTACAAAGTTAAACTCTGTTAACTCAATCATCCATTTTTACCATGATTTAATGTAATCTTTTTGTGAATAACAGTCTGTACCAATTTACCTCTCTGAAATGGCTCCCTACAAATATAGAGGAGCTTTAAGCGTTGGCTTCCAATTATCAATCACAATTGGTATTCTCATAGCCAATCTCCTCAACTATTTCTTTGCCAAACTTGGTGGATTAGGATGGAGGTTGAGTCTCGGTGGTGCTATGGTCCCTGCACTCATAATAACCATTGGCTCATTAGTCCTTCCGGACACACCAAACTCAATGATCGAACGCGGCGCTCGCGAATCAGCCAAGATTCATCTCAAAAGAATCCGCGGAGTTGAAGATGTTGACCAAGAGTTCAACGATCTCGTAGCAGCTAGTGAAGCATCCAAGCAAGTGAAGAACCCATGGGGAAACTTGTTGAGAAAGAAATATAGACCTCAACTTTCCATGGCTATATTCATTCCTACATTCCAACAGTTCACCGGAATTAACGTTATCATGTTTTACGCGCCTGTGCTATTTAGTTCCGTCGGGTTTAAGGATGATGCTTCCCTTATGTCAGCTGTGATCACTGGCATTGTTAATGTCTTCGGCACCATTGTCTCGATTATCGCGGTCGATAGGCTGGGTAGAAGAGCTCTTTTTCTTCAAGGTGGTTTTCAAATGCTGATATGTCAGATCGGAGTAGCGATAGCTATTGGAGCTAAGTTTGGAATCGACGGAAACCCTGGCGAATTGCCGAAGTGGTATGCAATAGTAGTAGTGATGTTCATTTGCGCTTATGTAGCGGCGTTTTCTTGGTCTTGGGGTCCTCTTGCATGGTTGGTGACTAGTGAGATTTTTCCACTCGAGATTCGTTCGGCGGCTCAGAGTGTTAATGTAGCAGTTAACATGCTTTTCACATTCTTGATTGCGCAAGTTTTCTTGACAATGCTATGTCACATGAAATTTGGATTGTTTATTTTCTTTGCGTTATTTGTGGTGGTGATGACATTCTTTGTGTATTTCATGCTTCCTGAAACTAAGGGGATTCCGATTGAAGAGATTAGCACAGTTTGGAAATCGCATCCGTATTGGTCTAGATTTGTGGAGAATGATGATAAAAGGGATGGAATTGAGATTGGAAGGAGAAATTGATAAAACTGTATTTACTCCTATTTTTTGTTGTTCTTGTTAAAGAATTTTTCAGGATTCTGTCAAATACCGTTCATTATTAAGGTTTTGTTTAGATGAACATTTTGATAAGTATTTGTTATATGAATGTTTGTGGGAATGTTATTTGGCAAAGGGCTCCTCCACCCAACTTATCAACTCTAATAATTTACACAACGGTACAAAAAGCATTTGAAGATAAAATACTTTACGATTGGTTCATGCGCAGCTAAATTAGGAGATTCTCTAGTACTTCACGACTTGCCATATGCTTCTCTTTTGTGGACACTTGTTTGAATAATTTAAGATGAGGCTTTAGATTATATTCCATTGTATTGTCATAAGGATATAGTCAAATCCATCAAACCCTAATGATAAGGTTTGCATGTTTATGTGTTTAAGTGCTCATGCTTGACTTATCACAAGACTTTAGTTATCATTATTAAAAGTTGATATCCTTGTTAAAAGCATATCACCTACAAAACAAGGTTTCATATGTGTTTTTATATTTTTGTAACGTTTTAATTCGTGAAATTTCCTTTCTCTTTGTATTTTGTACTTTGAATTTCAGTATAATTTGAACCATTGAAGTGTGTTTGTTCTCCCTTTTTAAATGTCAAAGTGACCAAGTGCTTACTTATTTAAATTTTTGTCTTGCATCTTGATCGCGAATTTCTATGTCTAATACAACCTAACTGCAAGTGCACAGTCTATCGCGTAGTAATAATAGATATCGATCCCACAGGGACTCGTAATCAAACTAGTGTTCTCGGGAGTTACTATGTTTAGCTAGGTAGATAATGTTTAAGGGAATAAGATTGTCACTAAAGGGAACTAAGAATGTTAATTAAATTATAATTGATTGAATCGATATGCAGTAATTATGTTCTTCGGGGATTTGACAAGTTACCGGTATACGAAATATTTTTCAGAGTTTATTTAAGCAGAAAATGGTGATCTGAAGACTCTCGCCTCACGATGGTTATTGACGCTAATCATAATTCTAAGGGTCAAACGTACGCTTTCGTGTCCCATTCGGGGTTAAAATTATTTTTTGGAAATCTCTAAGTTCTAATTCATTTTAAAGTGCTTTCGCTGTTATTAAAATGAATGACTAGTGTTTACTATCTGGTCTTGCCGCAGCTTTCGCTTGTTGGTTCGTACCTTAATTAATTTCCCACTTTCGTGGCAAAACTACTTTTAAATAAGTTCTCGCTTTCGCGACGAAGTTTATTCAGTAAATTAATTTTAAACACTCAGACCATAAACAACTTTTGAAAAAGACAGTTTTCAACCTGTTATTATCAAATCCCTTTCGAATTATTATTACATATAGATTACTTTAATTTAGCTAGACATGGATTTGGGAAAGGTAAAACATAAATGAAAACAATAAATAATAGCATGCATCATAATAAAAACTGGAATTACAATTAAAATGAGAAACCTGTAAATATTCCAATTGACCTTTGGGCAGATCCTCCACAAATGTTGGCAGGATTCTGGTCTTTGTGTCAATTGATCGTACAACGGAAATAAGAATTACAGAAGAAATGAAAGGAATGCAGAAAAAGAAAAGAGAAACAAATAAGAATATTAAAAACTGGAAATGTTGCTCTGAAGATAAATTGGCAGCACTTCGTTGTATGAATGCGTCTCCCCTTCTGAGTTCCCCTTCTTCCCTTTTTATAGAAATGGAATTCTAACGGTTATAACGTGGACTTTGAGGCAGAATTATCAGGGAGTAGTGGTCCACTATTTGGGACTTGGAACTGCTTCTTTCACGTGCATTTGAAGTGGGGCATTTTTGCCTGCATGACGGTCGTCACAATGTGTGACGGTCGTCATGGAGCTGTGACGGTCGTCACAACAGCAAAATCAGCATTCTGCGTTTTTCATGTTGTTTTCATCCGGTTTTCGTCCATATTTCATCCGAGATTGCTTCTTTTCTTCATATTGCCTTGTTTAGACATGATCATCAAATACCTGCAAAGTATCAGACAAATAACACGGAAATAACCCGAAATCGGATCGAAAACAGTTAAACATCAGTTGAATTATGCATCAAAATATATATACGATTTTGTGTTATCAAACTCCCCTAAGCTTGAATCTTTGCTTGTCCTCAAGTAAAACAGGAAAAGTCGGCAAGCACGAGGCAGCTTCTTCGTTCGCAAAGTTGGGAAAAACCGGGATTCTTAGTAAGAACAAAACGAGTACCATGACGACACTGGACTACAAGTCTTCGGAGGTCTCCTTCTTATGCAAATTGGTCCCAGTCATGCTACTGTAGCTTGGTATCAAGGTTCTCGCGGCAAGTTCACCCTGTTTGTTCTAGCGCAATCACATTAAGCCTGTTGTCCATACACTTTCATGGCAAGTCGACCTGTTAGTGAATATGATCTCATTTCTGTTTTGATCTTTTTCATTGATCATAAGCTTATATCATTGATTTTTCAATGAGCTTTCGTGCCGTTGGGCTAAATGCTCGGGCGAGGAGCACCTAACTTAGAAGGAAACGTGTCTTTATATTTTTGGCTATATGGCTTTCTTTTCATGATTTTTCATCTTTTTGGAGATCATACACTTATTTGCATCGGTCGCTCGCTTAGAAGTGCTTTAGGATGGTGCTGACTGCTAGTATAAACTACTTGGGGTTGAGTTTGCGTAGACACTTGAGACTTTGGTACACGTAGGTAGTGAAACCGACTTGCATAAACCGGAGATCTAAGGTGTCAGGACGGTACTGGTTTTGTTAGAATTGTCGTCTCCTCGGAGTTTCGAAACTTGGTTTGAACTAGGGCGCATTCTCGTGATGCTTTTGCTTTTGAGGAACGAACGAAAAATTTTTGTTTACGTTGAATAACGTGGGGATGTTTGCGTAACGGAAAAAAGGATATATAAACGAGCTTTATTTGCTAAAAATAGAAAATGTTTGAATAGAAATTACGAAAGTAAAAGTACACAGGAATGGGAAATAAACGCTCCGCTCCCACACTATATCAATCAGTGTCCCCACTGATTTGAAAAAATGCGAGAGGGAGATACAACGGAAATGAAAGTACAAAGAAACTGAAAATATAGTAAACAAATAAGGAAAATGGTAACTAATCACGGCCTCTGCCTCGGTCACGTCCTCGCTCGCGTCCTCTGGCTCTGACCTGGGCGACTCGGTCCTCAAAACTCATAGCTCCGGTGTGGTAGACATAGTCACGGAGTCCTTCGACCTGTAGGGTCAGATTTGCCAAGTTCTCAGTAATGGTTTCTTGGCCGGTTTGAAGTTGTTGCATTTGGGTTCGATGCCAAGCTTCGAACTGCTTGGCTCGCTGATTCTGCTGCTGCATCATAGCGAGTATCTGGGCCTGCTGGTCGAGAGAGCGGCGGAGGTCCTCTTCTGAGTAGTCGGGCACTGGACGATGGCGGCGGCGGCGGGAGGATGTACCTTCGGAAGGAAGAGGCTGCGATGCCTCCGGTTGCTCTGGTCTGTCCAACTCAGCTTGGATTTCGTCGTCAGAACCTTGGGTGTGGTCCTGAGTTAGAGCAGCGGCAGCAGGAGGGGCAGTGAGGTCAAATAACCAGTTGGTACGATCCTCTAGGTGTATCCGGGTGCGTGACGGAAGGATGATGCTTCGGACAGTTTTGTCACGCACTACCGGGTGGTACTTGTCATCGGCTCTGGAACGGATGAGGTGAGAGGCTCTGCAGTGGTCGGTGTCAAGGAACACCGAGGGGATGGCATGGAGGTGCTGGAGGCGGTCACCGAGGTTCAGCCCAAGTGCAATGGCAGTGACAATCCCGCCAAAGTAAAATGGCTTGGAGCCACGGCTACAGTTGGCCTGAATGTGGTCCTGGAGGAACGGAGCGGCGTTGATAGGATCGTTGTTGAAGACACAGCGGAGGAAGAAGAGCTCTTTAGATTTCACCTTATGGTTGTTGTCCCGGGCGAAGATGGTGTTGCTCAATGCCCGGTGGAAGTACCGGATGGTCGGGTTGTGGATATGTGTTGCGTGCAGAGAATCCCAACCATCGGCATTGATGCCGGTCAACTGGTACCAGAGCGCGAAGGCTTCGTGCTGGAACTGGTCGGTGAGGCGGCAGTGAGCATTGTCGCCACGAGGGAGTTGCAGGATGGCGGCAATCTGGTTCTGGTTCACTTGATAGTTTGTGCTGAACATCCGGAAGCATGCGGCACCGGAGTGTTGGTTGAGGTCGCCGCTGGAAGTGACGTAGGTAAACGAACTTAGGAACTCGAGGGTGAGTTGTTCGTACGTCGGCAGTGGATTGGTTAGAGGTTCCAGATGCCGGCTCTTTGAAGCATCCAAGTGACGCCGTCAAGGAGTCCGAGCTCTGTGAGCGATGGGATATGTGGATAATGGGTCGGCTGGAGCGACCTTTGATGGAATGCGATGTAGTTGGCTCGCTGTCTTTCGCCTGAGTCACCGTCGCTGAACACAATGTTGCTGAGGTCTGGGGTTTCGTGGTTTCTCGCCATTGTTGGAGGATTGAGTTGGTTCTGTGGAGTGGAAATATGTAACAAAAGTGTGGTAGGAAGTTGAGATGGGAGTTGGAATATATGGTGCAATGTGGGGAAAACGAAAAGTTGGAGTGGGGTGGGAGTTTCTGATGATTAGAAGTTGAAAGGAGATGAGTGGGAGAGAAAATGCAACCCCTGTTATATCAGATAACAGTTTTGGGTTCGTGACGGTCGTCACGTATCTGTGACGGTCGTCACCCGCGTGACGCTCGTCAGGCTCCTGTGACGGTCGTCACACCAACAAAATCTGCAGAACGCAGAATTTTGCTGTGAGGGTGTTCTTGCAGTGACTTTTAGGCCTAGTATTGATATGGCAATGTATTATAGCAGCCAATAAACAATGAATAATGTAAAAACAGAATAAATGAATAAATGAATAAAGACTATAATTGAAATAATGTAAAAACAGAATAAATGAATAAAGACTATAATTGAAATAACAAGAAATTAG